AGAGAGAGAGAAAGAGCGGCGCGGTGTGCTTAACGAAGGTGGTGGTTGGGGGCGGCAGAGGTGCGTCCGACAAATTGAACACCCGCGGCGTGACAATATAATTACGGGCCGTGTGCTCTGAGGCGTGCGTGCACGCTGGTACGATATGCGTGCTACGTCATGACGGTGCACGTAACGCGGTCCCGATTCGCGCCGCGCGCGATTCGATATCGCCAGCGCGAAAAGAAGAAAGAAATGCCGCGCCCGCTAGTTCGTGAGATTCACTTCCGGTGATCTTTAATTCGGGCGAGGGAACTCGGGAATTTTGCGGCTCGCGGAACGTGCGATGTAGAACGTTCGAGCGTCAAAATGTTAAATATGTATTCTGTTTCGCGTACAAGAGAGAAAATGGCTGTTATATGAGAAATAATATAATATATATGCTTAATTATGTGTGACAACCTGACAGATTTAATATAATCACATCCGGCACGCTAACCATATTTTATCAAAGTGAATTGGATTTCTGATTAGAATGAAGGCTATCCTGTTTCTCTCTTTTATTTTTAATTTATATTTTTTCCGAAAAGCTGACGTAGATATATAAAGCGAACAAGGATATCTAAATTGTCTTTTAAGTTCAAATTATCAATCAAACAGTTGTTGTACATTAAAATTTATTATTGTTATATATATTATATAATTTTGAATATATAAATATTCTGTCGAATAAAATTTCTGATGAAGATAAAATAACGTGATAGTATTTCAAATTATGAATTGGAAAATTACAGAACAAATTAGAGTTTTCTCCCCCATTGGCTTTTCGTATTAAGCTTATATAACTTTAATTGATACCACGAAGCGTAATGTATAGACTGCCGGAAACTTCTATGCAAGTTACGCAGAGTGACGGCTTAATTTTAAGAAACAAATTGGCTCATATATAATCACATATAATAATCTACCTCGAAGAGTTGCTAAATTTCTATAAAGTTAACGTTTCTCTGATACTTCGATATAATATCCAATAATAACAATTCAGCGACAACTTATTTAAAATATAAAATTCTATTTAAACTCTTCGACGGGTTTCTATAAAAATTCAATTGTGAAGCGTATTTAAACAATTTGAATTTTTCATAACATATTTTTCTAACATTATTACACAAGTGCAATTATGATATAACTGTTACGATAAATTTACATCCAAAAGAATGATTGTAAATCTCAACTGTTCGCATAATCGTACTCGCGGCAGTCTGCCTGACTTATTCTAAAGAAAAAGGATTCGCTCGCGCGCGCGCGCGCGCGCGAAGCCGGAAAGTCAAGAAACCCAAGCACGTTGAGCCACGGGAAATTAGCCTCGGCTCTTCAGCGATGCGCGACCGTGCTCGCCGCAAAGTCACGAATCCAGCTACTTAACAACATTCCGGCAATGCCGATCGTATAGTCGCACCACCTGCAGTCCGCACGCACACGCGTGCAACACGCGTGGATTTTACTTTGACGCCGCCGCTTCTACCAACCTCGCGTTTCCTCTTTTCCTTCTTGTCGCGCGACGATTAAAGTGGCACTGGCGTGCCTGAACGTAAACCTATGTAAACTAATCTCACGTTCGAAGCGAGACGGATTGGCGCTACATTTGAGATGGAACGTTCTATCTTCTGTCAGTGCGATCATCTGCATCACGGCATCGCGTAAATCGATGAATATTAAATGTCTCCGTCGCGCCATATCCGTTGGACAGGGATGTTTTCGCTATGTATGAAAAAAATGTTACGAAATATATATATTTTCTCATTTGTATACTGAATTAATAATCGATGATATTTTCACGCGTTATATATATTCTCTGGATTTGTTAGAAGCGTAAATTATTTAAAATTCGATAATCACAGAGATATTATTTTATCTCATTTCTTATTAGAAAAACTCTCTCGCTCTGAAAATAGCGATATCTCGGATCGCTCCTGTTTTTTAATTCACGAACATTCGGAATTTAATTCGCGACGGGTGTGAAATCAGACAAGCCGAGTATCGAGATACCGAACGACGACATCTTCCGCGACATTTTATGTTTTCGTGAAAGTCGTTTCACGGTGGCAGAGGTTTCCCCCCGTGAAACGAACCGGTGAGCCGGCCCATGACGGAAAACCACCGTCCGCCATGCGATTTACATATCGTCGTGGAAAGTTTCGCGGGACTCGGTCGCCGTCTTCGACTCGTCGATATAAATCTATTTCGAGATTAACTCGAAGCCACCGGCCGAGTCGATCGGATTACGACACGCGAGAAGAGACCCCGATCGCGCGACTTAAAGGACGCCCGCTCGCAGACACGCTCCGGACGAACGCATGGGAAAGTGGTACTTGAACGTCGAGAGACCTCCAGACTAATTTATGTTAATTTGCAACGGCGAGAGAAAGAAACGAGCACGCGAGCGATCGACAGGGAAACAGGGTAAAAAAAAAAGTGAGAGAGAAAAAACCGAGCGTACGTCTGATCGAGCGTGGTCTGATTTTCTGTTCTACTTTCCAGACGTATTAATGCAATAAAAGCTCGACAGAAATTCACGTTGCATATAAATGTTGAGTTTATCACGGACGGATACGCGTGTAAATCTCACGTTCGATTCTTTCGGCACGATAACGGGGAAAGAGAAGAACGGCAACGATCGAACGGGGAATGTAGGTGGCCCTTCTCTTGGCACATGAGGGACAAGAGAGCGCGTAAACATAAGGAGCTACCACTACGCTTACTTTCACCTAGTTTCACTCATCGACCGCTACAGAAATCGCGCCGCAAATTTGCGCGGATTCCTTTGTACGCGGGGAGGCCTTCTTCTCGTGCCACCGCATAGTTAGATTTCCTCGAACGACACGCTTTTTCCTTACCGACGCATTCCGCCGTCCGGATGTTTGTCACACATGTCTCCGCTTCCGGCGGATTATTTTCTCTTTATTGCCGCAACCGTCCGGATTCTTGCGCTTCTGAGGACGAAACGTCAAAAGATGTCTTTTTATTACTTCGCCTTCTTGATTATTCCTAGTACTTTTAAATCGCTTTCTTTTACTTTTTTTTTTTTTTACGAAATTAAAAATTTTTCAAGCGAGAAAAATAAAAGATCATAAAAATTCAAACAATCCTTGAATATATGTTTACAAGATTAAAAAAAAAACGAAAGACATATATAAACATGGAATTTTTGAAATATTTTTCCATTTCGCAAAAGAATTTATAATATGGACAACAATCTCTAGTACTTAAATATTCCTTGTCGGTATTAAATTGTACACAAAGCATGTAGGTATGTGAAAGTATGAAATATTTCAATAGAACAGATTTATTAGATTTGAAGTATTTTTAGAGAAGAAATTGCGAAAACTGATTTATCACGAAAGATATTTAATATCACCTGTTGGATAACCCGCTAACGAGTCCGCTAACAAGCGTGGAGTGCATTCCACGTTCTACATGATTATATGCTGAAAAGAAAAGTGAGATAGTTTAAACGAATTTAGTATGTCACGCAACACTACTTCGGGAAGGATTAGTCATATTGACTTTATTCCGTGCGAAAATCGATAATCGTAGCGCGAAAATTCATTATGCGAATCGCGTTTGCAAAATTGAAACGTATACGTGTTTCTCGAATTTATAAACCGTCGAGATTTTTGAGCTCAGTATGATCGAATCATGTTGAGTCATTTTGCGTTGGTATCGAGTTTATCCATTTAGGTGCGTGCCCGATGGGTGGACAAAGAGTGAGTCTGAAAATACTCGCGGCAGCAGATATCTCTCGTAATAAGGCGTATGAGATACAGCGCGAATCGGTGGGTTTCTTCAGGTAACGCAACTTATGCGCACTTGTGGTGTGTGCGTGCGTGCGTGCGTGCGTGCGTGCGTGCGTGCGTGCGTGCGCGCGCGCGCGCACTCGCAAAATATATCTACGCTCTCACGACTCCGGTGCAACCACCTGTTGATTGCAGTCCCGCGCGAAGCAACGATCTGCAAATCGGGTTTATTCGCACGATTACGGTAATATCTTCCAAAGCTGTCGCCCAAATGTTTTCACCCTCTCCCCGAGAGCGAGTTACGTCCCGATAACGGCGAA